ATCGGGAATGGCACAGGAACATCGGGAATGGCACAGGAATGTCGGGAATGGCACAGGAATGTCGGGAATGGCACAATCGGCATAGGGAGTGGCACAAAAGGCATCAGGGATGGCATAGGAACATCGGGAATAGCATAGGAACATCCGGAGTGGCACAAAATCATGGAGAGTGGCACAGAAGGCACCAAGGATGGCACAGGAACATTGGGAATGGCACAAAAGACATCGGGAGTGGCACAAAAGGCATCAGGGATGGCACAGGAACATCGGGAACGGCACAGGAACATCGGGAATGGTACAAAAGTCATCAGGGATGGCACAGGAACATCGAGAATAGCATAGGAACATCAGGAGTGGCACAAAATCATCGGGAGTGGCACAGGAGGCATCAGGGATGGCACAGGAACATTGGGAATGGCACAAAAGACATCGGGAGTGGCACAAAAGGCATCGGGAATGGCACAAAAGGCATCAGGGATGGCACAGGAACATCGGGAATGGCACAAAAGGCATCGGGAGTGGCACAAAAGGCATCAGGGATGGCACAGGAACATCGAGAATAGCATAGGAACATCAGGAGTGGCACAAAATCATCGGGAGTGGCACAGGAGGCATCAGGGATGGCACAGGAACATTGGGAATGGCACAAAAGACATCGGGAGTGGCACAAAAGGCATCAGGGATGGCACAGGAACATCGGGAATGGCACAAAAGGCATCGGGAGTGGCACAGAAGGCATCAGGGATGGCACAGGAACATCGGGAATGGCACAGAAACATCAGGAGTGGCACAAATTCATCGGGAGTGGCACAAAAGGCATCAGGGATGGCACAGGAACATCGGGAATGGCACAGAAACATCAGGAGTGGCACAAATTCATCGGGAGTGGCACAGGAGGCATCAGGGATGGCACAGGAACATTGGGAATGGCACAAAAGACATCGGGAGTGGCACAAAAGGCATCGGGAATGGCACAAAAGGCATCAGGGATGGCACAGGAACATCGGGAATGGCACAAAAGGCATCGGGAGTGGCACAAAAGGCATCAGGGATGGCACAGGAACATCGGGAATGACACAAAAGGCATCAGGGATGGCACAGGAACATCGGGAATGGCACAAAAGGCATCGGGAGTGGCACAGAAGGCATCAGGGATGGCACAGGAACATCGGGAATGGCACAGAAACATCAGGAGTGGCACAAATTCATCGGGAGTGGCACAAAAGGCATCAGGAATGGCACGGAATCATCAGGAATCCCCAGAAGTGCAGCAGGGAACAGCTCAGTGCCAGCTGGAGGTGGGAATTGCCCCCTTTTCCTGCCCCTTGATTGGGGGTCAGGCATTCCAGGCCCCAAAGCCAGAGCCCCAAAGCCACCCCACTGTCACCTGTGGGCTCGGGGATGAGGTTCCCCCACAGCTCCCACCCAGACCATTCCTCCTTTTGCTCCAGAACACCACAAACAGCCCAAGCTCTTCCCTGGACATCCCTTCCCACTCTGCTCCTGCAGGTTCCCAGCTGACCCCGAGGCTTCAGCTCCAGCCACTCCCCAGGTGACAGCAGTGGCCCCCCCATGTCCCCAGCCAAGGGACATCCCTCAGGTGCCTCTCCTGCAGCTCAGCCTCAGACACTGTTTCACTCTGAACAGTTAAACTGCTCATTCTGGAAGAAAATTCCGGGAATTCTCCAACTCTGGGAGCTTCAGCGCAAAGGCACAGACCCCTCCCAGCTCCCCTCATCAATTCAGGATCACTACAATTTGAGCCAGGGATTCTTCAGGAACCTGCCTGAAAAACAACTGTTAAATCCCCCAAATCCCATTTTCCAGCTGGAGCTCCATAAAAACACCCCCTACTCCTGTTTGGAATGAAAACACCACGCAGTTGGTACAAGGAGTTTTATTTTGTGTCCCTGGCCAGGGGCAGGATCGGGATCAGGCGATGCTCCCGGCGTTGGAGGCGATCCTGGGCCACAGATCTGCACATTCCTTGGCCACGGGGCCTGTGATGGCTGAGCCTGGAAAACAGGGACAACACCACAGGGACAGTGAGGCCGGCCCCTGAGAGGATGGGATGCAATTCCCAGAGAAGCTGTGGCTGCCCCTGGAAATGTCCAGGGCCAGGCTGGAGCACCCTGGGATAGTGATGTCCCTGGGATGAGCTTCGAGCTCCATTCCAACCAAACCATTCTGGAATTCCGTGATTTAGAGCTCAGAGATGGTTCAGGGCAGCATTTCCCAGCCAAAATTCCACTCTCTGAGGGGAATCTTGAGTCCTTTCCCCACCGTGGCAGTGCCAACCCCCCCGTGGGGGACAATTCCCCAGCTCACCTTTCATTTCCCCTTTGTTATTTACAATCACTCCTGCGTTGTCCTCGAAGTACAGGAACACCCCATCTTTTCTCCTGTAGGATTTCCGCTGCCTGATCACCACCGCTGGGTGCACTGGGAGGAAAAAGTGTCACAGCCCTCAGGATGAACACACATTCCACACAGATCCCACAGGAATCAAACCCAGATTCGGGGTGGGTTTTGTTTTGCACCTTGTATTTGCGTGTTTTACTAAAAAGTTACATTTTATAGTCAACACTCCCCTTAAAACTGACCATGAAATATCTGTAGCTGCATCTACACTTGGAAAATCCAGGGGTTTCCCACTTTTGCACCTTTATTTTGAAGTAATTAATTCACAAACAATATTCAGCAAAAACTCCTCTGGAGCAGGAGCAAATCCATGGCAGGGGGTGGACCTGGATGAGATTTAAGATTCCTTCCCACCCAAATCATTCCATAATTTTTAATTTTACAGATCCATGTGACATCACTCCCCTATTACTGATGGACAGCTGGACTCAGGAAGGGATTTAGGGAAGGAATTCCTCCGTGGCACAGGTTACCCAGAGCAGCTGTGGCTGTCCCTGGATCCCTGAAAGTGTCCAAAGCCAGGCTGGGCAGGCCTTGGAGCGACCTGGGGCAGTGGAAGGTGTCCCTGCCCACGCATGGCATGGAAGGTCCCTTCCCACCCAGCCCATTCCAGGATTCCCAAACCCTCTGTCCCACCGCTGATTGAAATCAACAGCACCAGCAGCTGCCACTTCACCCAAAAGCGGCGCCTTTGCTCTGCCCTTCCACGACAACTCCCTGAGCCACGGCACGGACCCAACGAGTGCTTTAGAGAAGGGGGGGGATGACTCGGTGACTCTCCGGGGACTGTCCCCGACAATTCGGGACAGCAACGGCGCCACTCACCCTTCTTCCTCAGCTCCGGCTTGCCCTTCTTCACCGTGGCCATCACCATGTCACCCACGCCGGCCGCCGGCAGCCGGTTCAGGCGGCCCTTGATGCCCTTCACGGAGATGATGTAGAGGTTCTTGGCCCCTGCGGAGAGCGGCGCCGCCGTTATCCCGGGATAGCGGGGAGCGGCACCGCCGTGATCCCGGGACAGCCGGGGACACGTCCCACTGCAGGGACACCCCACAGCGCTGCCACTACCACGGGCCCAGCGAGAGATTCCCGAAGGAAAACGGAGGTTTGGGAATGCAGGGAACACCTCACCCTCGGGTTACTGAGGGGGCCTTTCCCGAGGGGCTCCCCCGGTTCCCGAGGGGCTCCCCCGGTTCCCGAGGGGCTCCCCCGGTTCCCGGGCCGTCCCTCCCGCCGCCCCGCGGTTCCAGCCCCGCACTCACCGGTGTTGTCGGCGCAGTTGATCACGGCCCCCACCGGGAGACCCAAGGAGATGCGGAACTTGGCCCCGGACGAACCTCCGCGTCCTGCGGGTCGAGAAGAGCGTTAAGAGCCCGGTACCGCCTCACGGAGCGGCCGCGGCCTCACGGGGAGGGGGAGGGCGACATCACCGGTGACATCCGCTCCCGCCCGGGCTCAGACGCCTCTCGCCGGGTCCCCGCTGCGCCGGGGCGGCCACGGGGACACCGGATGGCGGCGGATGGAGCCGGATGGTGGCGGAGAGCGGCGCCCGCCTCACCTCGCTTCGACATCTTGGCGCCGGAAGAGGCGGCGGATGTCGCGTGACGCGCCCGCCCCGCCTCGCACCGCGCGCGGCGTCACCTAGCGGCGGCGGGAAACGCGACACCCTCACCGGTACCGGGAGCACCGGCGGGGACGGAAAGAGCGAGCAGGGATAATTCGAGTGAGAAAAGTTGGGATAAAGGGAGAAAAAAAAAAGAAAAAAACTAAAGCAAAACAAGGGGGCACCCGGATTTGAACCGGGGACCTCTTGATCTGCAGTCAAATGCTCTACCACTGAGAGGGGGCGGCGGGGACGGAAGGAGGGAGCAGGGATGGAAGGAGGGAGCAGGGATAATTCGAGTGAGAAAAGTTGGGATAAAGGGAGAAAAAAAAAAGAAAAAAACTAAAGCAAAACAAGGGGGCACCCGGATTTGAACCGGGGACCTCTTGATCTGCAGTCAAATGCTCTACCACTGAGCTATACCCCCACTGGTGTAAGTCGGCCACTGGGTGATAATTTAGAGCTCACTCCGCGCCTGCGTAGTTCGCTGTTCTGTGCATGGATCGGGGACTGCGCGCGCAAATGCGGCCTGCCCGCCTCAAACACCCCCATCACCCGGAAATAGCGACAAAAAAAAACGGGAAAAAAGCGCAAAAATATTAAAAATACTCTCTGAGGGGGCACCCGGATTTGAACCAGGGACCTCTTGATCTGCAGTCAAATGCTCTACCACTGAGCTATACCCCCGCCCGCCGCGTGTGCCGCCCGGAGTCCCCTCTACCGGCGCCGCGGACCCACAGCCCTCCGGTTCGAATCCCGCCGCGCCCTCAACGTAAACTTCTTGTATTTTTTAGGTTTTTTTTTTTGCCGTGTTTTAGCCCTTTTTAGGGGTGTTTCGGCTCGGCGCTGCCTTCCTAGGGGTGTGCGCCCCGCTCGCACGCGCGTTACGTGTGCACGCACGCGTAGGTGCGCGCCCCACCCCCGCGGTCCCTCCCCTCTCCTTTTCCCCGCCGCCTCCTCCCCTTCCCGACTATTTAAAGTCGCGACATCGCGGGCGGCGGCTCAGTGGAAGAAGAAGGCGGCGGAGGAGGGTGGGTGTGATTTTTTTTTTTTCCTTTCCCCCCTCCCTCCACGCGAGTTTTCCGCCATGAATCCCAACTGTGCTCGCTGCGGGAAGATCGTGTATCCCACGGAGAAGGTGAACTGCTTGGATAAGGTGAGCTCCGCGGGGTCGCACGTGGGGAGTGGGACAAGGATTTGGGGTTTTTCCCCATAGGATCGCCTCCGGATGGCATGGTTTTTCTCCTCACCCCTATTCCTGGCGGGTTTTCTACGGGGTTCTGGGGTTTTTTGGGGGGTCTTCGGCAGCATTCCAGCCCCCCCCCCCCCCCCCCCCTCCGCGGGTGGCACTTCCTTATGGACACGGCTCTCCCCCCGCCCTATTCCCGGGAATATTTCCACGCTTCCCACTCCCAACCCCGCTTTTCCCGGGGGTATTTCCACGCTGGATCCCCTCACAGTGGGACCCCATTGTCCTGGGGGACCCCAGGGGATCTGTGTTCCTCCCACCCCCCTTTCCTGGGGGTATTTCCACGCTCCCCCCACCCCGTGTCCTGGGGGTCCCAGGAGCCCCCGGTGTCCCGAGGGTCCCGCAGGGAGCCCCAGGGAGGGGACAGGGATGGAGCTCTTTGCCCTGGGGGCTCTAGAGCATCCCCAGCTCTTCCTTCCATAGCAAATATTTCTATTTATTGGAATATCTCCCATTCAAAGGCAGCACATCCGTGTGGAGGCCCAAGGAAAGCAACAGTTAACGCTTCCCTGAAGCCGGGGACCTCATCTGGTTTCCATTATCGAGCTTTTTCCCCTTTTTTTTTTTCTTTTTTTTTTTTTCCAAATCTTCCATCCCAGTTGCTACTTCTCTGTTCCAAAATCCCATCCTTACACTCCGGGGCTGCCTCCCTTAACCTGGAATATTTTTTTTTGGAATATTTTCCCCTCAAAACCAAAGCTCTGGTGGAAGCTGGAGGTGGGGAAGGTGATGTTGGGGCTCCATTCTCGCTGCTCTTCCCATGGGGTTTCCTTTACTCTCCTCCCCCTCCTCTCCCAGGCTTCTGGGACAACCAGTTTAGGGACTAAAAAAAGTAACTGGGAAGAACGCTCCGCTCTCCAGCGGCATTCCTGAGCTCCGGCAGACCCTGTTGCTCGCATTTTTAAGGGATGATGCTTCTTCCTGAGGCTGGGAATGGCTCGGGGCTGAACTATCACCCCCAAATCCTGGGATTTGGGGCTGTGAGTGGCTCTGGGCCCTGAGAGCCTCCAGGGGCTGCTGGCTGTTGGGATTGGGGATGATAGGAAGGGAAAAGGGGTTGGGGGATACCTGCAGGGAAGGGGGGTTTGGGGGACGTGGATAAAAGGATGGGAAGGGTTTGGAGTTTGTGGATATTTAGAAGGGAAAAGGGTTTGGGGGTTGTGGATATTTGGAAGGGAAAAGGGTTTGGCGGTGGTAGATTTTTGGAGAGGAAGAGGGGTTTGGGATTGTGGCTATTTGGAGGAGAAAGGTGTTTGGGATTTGTGGTTATTTGGAAGGGAAAAGGGTTTGGAGAGTGTGAATATTTAGAAGGGAAGGGTTTGGGGATAAGTGGAAGGGAAAAGGAGTGGTGGGGGTGTGGATATTTGGGAGGGAAGGGGGTTTGGGGATTGTGAAAATTTGGAAAAAGGAGTACTGGGGGTGTGGATATTTGGGAGTGTTGGGGTTTGGGGATTGTGAAAATTTGGAAGGGAAGGGTTTGGGGGTTGTGGATATTTGGAAGGGAAGGGGGGATTGGGGATAACTGGAAGGGAAAAAGAGTGCTGGGACTGTTGATATTTGGAAAGGAAAGGGGTTTGGTGGTTGTGAAAATTTGGAAGGGAAAGGTTTGGAGGTTGTGGATATTTAGAAGGGAAGGGTTTGGGGATAACTGGAAGGGGAAAAGGAGTGCTGGGGTTGGGGATATTTGGAAGGGAAAGGGGAGTGTTGGGGTTGGGGCTAACAGGAAGAGGAAAGGGGTGCTGGGATTGGGGATGACTGGGAGGGAAGGGGAGTGTCGGCATTGAGGCTGACTGGGAGGGAAGGGGGATCCCAGCATTGCCGGCAGGGAAGGGAATGAGCCCTGGCTCCCTGGTGCTCCTGGGCTCTGTGAACTCCAGGAGAGGGTCTGTTCCAGCTGTGGGGAGCAGGGGAGGGTCTGTTCCTGCTGTGGGGGGCAGGGGAGGGTCTGTTCCAGCTGTGGGGAGCAGGGGAGGGTCTGTTCCAGCTGTGGGGGGCAGGGGAGGGTCTGTTCCAGCTGTGGGGAGCAGGGGAGGGTCTGTTCCAGCTGTGGGGGGCAGGCAGGAGCCCGCAGTCACCATCTTGTCCTCCTCGGGCTCCTCACCCACTTCCTCTTCCTAAGAGCCGAGGCTCGGCCGCTCGTGGTGCTGCTCACCCCGCCCCGGAGCGCCTCCGGCTGCCCTTTTCCCGGAATGCTGCCCCAGTTCCCATAAAACCATGGGCAGGCCTTGGAGTGCCTCTGTCCCTGCTTGGAATTCCTCTGGCCCTGCTTTTCCTGGCCCTTGGAATTCCTCTGGCCCTGCTTTTCCTGGCCCTTGGAATTCCTCTGGCCCTGCTTTTCCTGACCCTTGGAATTCCTCTGGCCCTGCTTTTCCCAGCCCTTGCAGTCCCTCTTTCTGTCCCTGCTTTTCCTGACCCTTGGAGTGCCTCTGTCCCTGCTTTTCCCAGCCTTTGGAGCGCCTCTATCCCTGCTTGGAGTTCCCCTCTCTGTCCCTGCTTTTTCCAGCCCCTGGAGCCACTCTCCCTGTCCCCTCTCCCTTTCCCTGCCTTCCCGGGTAGAGTCCAAAGGACAGCCAGGCCGTGCTGGCAGGAGGAGGGGACAGCCCCAACCTGAGGCTGTCTGGGGTGTGGCTTTGCTTCCAGAACCAGGGAAACTCCACTTCCCTTTGGGATTGATGGAAAACCCAGAGCATCACCACCTCCCCGCAGCCCTTATGTGCCCCGAGTGGCTTTGGGGACATTGCTGTCCCTGCCCCCACGGGGACAGTGCCACTGCTGGCCCTGGTTTCCGCAGGGGAAGTGACACCCGAGGGCTGGGCTGGGCTCACCCCGAGCTGAGCAGGGCCCTGAGCATCACCCAGGGCTTGTCTCCTCCAGCCCAGGGGGTTCCTCTGGGTGTTGTCCTCATGTTCTGGGGTCCCCAGGTTGTGGGTTTACTCCAGGTGTGGTGCAAAAGCTTTGCCTGGTGGGACCCAGAGCAGCTGTGGCTGCCCCTGGATGTGTCCAAAACCAGGCTGGACAGGGCTTGGAGCACCCTGGGACAGTGGGAGATGTCCCTGTCCATGGCAGGAGGTGGCACTGGATGAGTTGAAGGTCCATTCCATGATTATAAATCCAAGGCATCCTTCATTTCCCCAGCATGGATTATCTCTGACCCGCTCACCTGGATAACCTGGAAAGTTTTAGAGCTGCTTTCCTTTAAATTTGTGATTTTCCACTGAGGTTATGTCAGTCAGAAGAGTTTCCAAAATGTGTGTTCACACTTAGAAATAAATCCTGTCCAGCCTGCTGGGATGTGGGAGCACCTGGGATCACCTCCAGGCTCAGGATTGGGAAGCACAGGGAGTTCATCCTCCTCCAAAACCCCATTTGGATCCTGTCCTCTTTCTCCAGGGCAAGCAGAACGTTCCTGGAAGCCAAAATAACTCCTGCTCCCCTGTGTCCAGCCATGCTCCAGCCTCCTTTTAGTGCTGCCTCAGATTTTGTGGATCCAGCATTAATTCCACTCTGTTTGTGAGACAGAGAGCGGCAGCGAGGCTGAGGACAGGCAAAAGTGCTCCATGGGCACTTCCCAAGGGATCCCAGATCCTAGATCTCTTCCCAGATCCTTGGGGAGAGCCTTGGGCTGGGAATGGCCCTGCTGAGCAATCCCTGGTGGGAACTGGGGTGGGAATGTGCTGGGAATGCTCTGGGATGGGAGCAGAGCCTGCCTGGGAGCGTTGTCCTGCTGGGGCTGGGATTGGGATCAGAGGGATCTGCTGGATCCCAGGGAGCTGCTGCTGTTCCTGGAGGTGGGATTGGGATCAGAGGGATCTGCTGGATCCTAGGGAGCTGCTGCTGTTCCTGGAGCTGGGATTGGGATCCGAGGGATTTGCTGCTGTTCCTGGATTTAGGATTGGGGTTGTTTCCCTGATGGATCAGCAGGATCTGCTGCTGTTCCTGGTTCTGGGATTGGGGTTCCCTGCTGGATCAGAGGTATTTGCTGTTCCTGGATTTGGGATTGTGATTAGAGGGATCTTCTGCTGTTCCTGGTTCTCAGATTTGGGTTGTTCCCTGCTGGATCCCAGGGATCTGCTGGCTGTGCCAGATCCTCCTGGGAGCTGGGATATTACTTGAAGAGAAGACTCTGGAGCTATGCTGCCTCTCAATTCACCCCTACAGATCCATGGTGCCATCCCTGGCAGCTCCTGCTGGGACGGGCTTGGAAAGGACCCTTCACTCCCCAGGAGAGTCCCAAAAACTCAGGATCCAGCTGCTGATCCATCCTCCAGGAGCCCAAAAGCTGGGAAGGGGCAAAACCACCCTGGGAAAGGATGGAGGAGCAAAGCCCCTGCAGCTGGAGGAGCTGGAACAGAGGGGAGGAACAAATCCATTTCTGAGGGCAATTAAAAGGAGGAGAATTGTCCTCTCCAGGGCTGAGTCACGTCCCCAGAGCCTGGCAGTGTTTGTGCACGGGGTGTGGCACCAGGGGAGGTGACAGCAGGGCTTGGCTCCCTGCGGGGACACAGATCCAGGCTGGGCTTGGAGAGGGGAATCGGCTTCTTGAAGGTTTTAGAGTGGAAATCCCAGCAAGAAGCAGCAGCTGGGCACTCTGGCTGTGGTGGCTGAGTGTTAAAGGACACTTGCCTGTCCTCCAATTAGTGCTTGGAGCTGCTAATTGGGCTTTTGGTGGAGTTTTCCTTGTTTTTTTGGGGGGTTGCCCTAGGGCAGGACTGGCAGAGCTGACTGTCAGGGGTGAAGGTTTTGCTCCAGGCTGTGCTTTCCTTGCTCCAGGAGGAAATTCCCATTCCTCTCTGGGCCCTGGGAATTCCCACCAGACCCCACAAATCTCCGTGGAAAAGGGGAGTCTGGACTCTGGCAGGACTTTGAACTTGGTCTGTGTGACCTCAGAATCACAAAATCAGAATAATTTTACTCCCAGATGATCAAATCCAACCTTTAACTCCAGCTCTGAGCTGTTCTCCTCAGGCTCCTCCCAGCCTGTCCCAGCTCAGAGCCAGGCGGGAATAATTTCTTTAGGAGCAGCCCTAAAAAAGAACCTTTAAACTCCCCTTTAGGGTTTGTCACAGCCCAGGGTGTGGGGTCAGGGTCTAGATTTTTTGGGGTTGTGTCTTTCACCTTGGATCTGTGTCTGCTTCCCATGAGAACCTTTTCCTGCTTGGCTCATGCAGCCTCACCTGACCTGCTCTTCTGGCTGGCACCAGGCAAACAGCAATAAAATATAAAAAAAATTAAAAAATAAAACCAAAGCAGCAGCTTTGAACCTTCAAACACAGCTGTTCCCTCTGCTGAGGTGTCACTTCCAGAAGGAGCTTTTCCTAGCCATGAATTCCTGGATATATGGAAGGAAAAAACCTCCCCTGGCTGGGATAAATGCATTGGGAAGATCAGGAGAGACTGGATTTGATCCTAAATTAACCACGATATTCCCTTTAACCAAACTTTTTTTCTTTATCCAGAAGGACCCTGAGTTGTGCTCCCCTTTCCTGGCTGGTCTTGAGCTCTGTGGAGCCAAAATATTTCTTAATATCTAAAAAAGAGCTGGGAAATCCCATTTTTGTAGCTGCTCCTTATGCACTGGCAGTTCTTAGAAGGAAAATTTGGTTCTGGGGTCACAGGTGGCGTGGCCGCCATGCTGGGTGGGAACTGTGGGATTCCAGCAGGGTTTTGGGATCCCTGGAGCTGATGATTTGGGTTTTGTGTTGCAGTTCTGGCACAAATCATGTTTCCACTGCGAGACTTGCAAGATGACCCTGAACATGAAGAACTACAAGGGCTACGAGAAGAAGCCGTACTGCAACGCGTGAGTGCTCGCTGCCAGGGGCTGCTGTGGGATTTTCTGTGGGGGACCCTGTTGTGGGATTTTCTGTGGGGGACCCTGCTGTGGGATTTTCTGTGGGGGATCCTGCTGTGGAGATCCCTGCTGTGGAATTTTCTGTGGGGATCCCTGCTGTGGGGCCTATTGTGGGATTTTTCTGGGGGATCCTGCTCTGGCGATCCCTGATGTGGGATTTTCTGTGGGGGATCCCTGCTGTGGGATTTTCTGGAGATCCCTGCTGTGGGGCCAGCTGGAAGATTTTCTGGGGATCCCTGCTGTGGGATTTTCTGTGGGGATCCCTGCTGTGGGGCCTGCTGTGGAATTTTTCTAGGGGATCCTGCTGTGGGGGATCCCTGCTGGGGGATTTTCTGTGGGGGATCCCTGCTGGGGGATTTTCTGTGGGGGATCCCTTCTGGGGGATTTTCTGGAGATCCCTGCTGTGGGGGATCCCTGCTGTGGGATTTCTGTGGGGATCCCTGCTGTGGGATTTCTGTGGGGATCCCTGCTGTGGGATTTTCTGCGGGGACCCTGCTGAGGGATTTTTTTGGGGGATCCTCCTGTGGAATCTCCTGTGGGGTCCACTGTGGGTCCTCCTGTGCTGTGGGGATCCTCCTGTGGGATTTTCTGTGGGATTTCCTGGATATTCCTCTCTCCAACTCCAGCCCTCACCCTGGAGCAGGCTCCGTGGGACACCCCAAGCTCTCCAGGAGCTCCTTCCCTGCTGATCTGCAGAATTTCTGGGAAGGGAGGGAAGCCTTGGATGGAGGGGTCTCAATTAATACTGATGTTAAACCAGGGTTACACCCCAGTTAACACTGGTATTAAACCAGCTAATACTGATAGTAAGCTAGTTAACACTGGTGTTAAACACCCCCAGTTAATACTGATATTAAACCAGTTAGTACCAGTATTAAACCAGGCTTTTCCAGGTCTCAGTGCCAGCTGGGGGCTGCTCTCCAGGCCCAGCCTGAGCAGGAAAAAGGGACTAAAACCCCAGACCAGGCTGGGCTGAGCTGACCCCAGGAGGAGCTCTCAGGTGTTGGTGCCCTGCAGGTGTGGGGAGGGCAGAAATTCCCTTTGTGTGCAGGGAACAGACCCAGAAATTCCCTTTGTGCAGGGAACAGACCCAGAAATTCCCTTTGTGCAGGGCTCACCGGGCTGGGCTGGGTGCAGCCACCTGAATTTCCTGGCGGGGAAAGAATCCCAAGGTAAATAAACCTGGGAGGTGAAATCCTTGGTGTGGGGGATGGAGGTAGGGCAGGGTGGAGCAAGAGCTCAGGGCCCTTTTTTTTTTTTTTTCTTTTTTTTTTTTTTCTCCCTCGGGCCCTTTTTCCTCTGGCCCTTCTTTTTTTTTTTTTTTTTTCCCTCCTCTTTCCTTTTTCTTTTTTTCCTCTGGCCCTTTTTTTTTCTGGCCCTTTCCACCTGTTCCTGAGCACTGGATGTTCCCTTCCAACCTTTTTTTTTTTGCCCTTATCCAGAAGAACCCTGTGGACCCAAAATGCTTCTTAATATCTAAAAGGCAGCTTGAAAATCTGATTTTTTGTAGCTGCTCCTTATACACTGGCAGTCCTTAGAAGGAAACTTAGGGAACATAATTAATGTATTAATTTTTTCCCAATATTCCTGATTTTACTCTTTAAGTTTTTACTTTTACTCTTTAAATTTACTCTTCTGAGTTACACTGAAAGGAGAAGTGGTGAGAGCAGAGCTTGGCCAGGCCCTCCCATTTCCGGGGGTTTTTTTAGGTGGTTTTTGATGGGGTTGGGTGCTGGGGGTGGCTGTAGCTTGTCCAAAATCCAGAAATTCAGCTGGGCTGGGAGGAAATTCGTTAAATTCCAATTTGGGCAGGGAAGTGGCATTTCTTGGGGTCTCACCAGAGTGACAATACAAATAACTGGTTGAAAATAAATTGATTTATTTGTGGGGGAACAGCACTGTTGGAGCTCCAGTTTTTTGGGGGAAAATTAGGAAATTTTGGGGTCTTTTGAGGGGGGGGATGTGTGTGCTGAGGTAGGTGGGCTCTGTCTTTGGGGGGGATGATTTTGGGGTGTGCAGAGACCTCACAGGGAGGGTCTGGCCTGGCAGAGCTGAGCCCCCCCGAGCTGTTCTGAATGTCCTGACCCAAAACTTTCCCCCCTGGCCCGTGGGATTTGCCCATCCCCAGGCTTAGGGTCCTGTTCTTGTGCTCTCCCTGCTAGGGAAGTGGGATAATAATGGGAAATTCCTGACATTCCAAGGAGTCTGCGCAACCTCGGGTTCTCACCCCCCTCTCTGGGGGCTCCCTTTGATGCTGCTGCTGCTTTAACCCTTCCCAGCCCGGCACTGAGCACAGAAACTGCCCCCAAAATCCTTTGTTCTTCCCGTTTTCCCTCTCTAAAAGCAAAGGGGGCAGCTGGGAGTTGCTGGAGGATTTTCCAGGGGGTTGAGATGTGGAAAAAAGGGAAAACTCCAGGCTTGGATTTGGGGTTTCTTCCTTCTCAGCTGCTCCCACGAGTATCCTGGGACAGCAGAAACTCCAGGAGCGCTGTGCCTGGCTGGGGACATCCCAGGAGGAGCCCAGCCTTCCCAAATTTCCTGGATTTGGAGGGACAAGGTCCTCTGTCCCGGGAGAAGGGGGTGGAAAAGCAACGTTTATCCTGGCAGGGAAGAGGCTGCTGTTCCGAACAGGGTCCTCTCTGTTCGAGCCCGTGGCTCCCTGCCAAATTCCTGAGTTTCTTTCTTCTGGGAGAGCAGGAGGAAGAGGGCTGGGCTTCCTCCAGCCCTGCCATTCCCCCAGCCATAAATCCGGCAGGAATCTTTGGGGCCGCTGGTGGCAGAATGTGGGAATGGCTTGGTGGCAGATGGGACGGTCCCCACCCCCCTCCCTGTCCCCTCCTTGGCTCCAGCTGGGCACTGGGAGGGACTGGTGGCTCACTGGAAGTGACATTCAGTGACTCCTGGCCTGAGCACTTGGAGCTAAAAGTGGGAGAAGGGAAAATCCGGGGAAGTCTGAGACTTTTCCAGATGAAAAGTGGGGGGAAGCTGGATACAAGAGACAGGCAAGGGTGGAGTTCCAGGCTCCAGCTGCTCCCAAACACACATTTTTATAGAGATTTTTATATTAAATATTTTATAAATATATAAAAATATTTTATCTGTTTATTATATATATAATTTTTCATATATAATTTTTTAATATATGTATTAAACTTGTTGTGCTGAGGCTGAGGGATCAGGGAGATCCCCCTGTGCAGCACAAATCCCACCTGGAAAATCCTGGGGGAGGGCTCAAAGGTGAATATTCAGTCTGATATTCTCTGCACTGAATATTCAGTCCAGAGCCACCCCTGGGTGGTGGAGCTGCCTGGGATGGGGAGAGGAGCAGGATCCTGGGCAAGGAGCTCCTTCCCTGCTCCCTGGGCCACTGGGATCAGCTGCTCCTGGTGCTTGGGGCCAGCCCAAGGCCAGGCTTTGTCTTTTTGGGATTCCTGCTGGGGACAAACAATTCCTGCAGGATGCAGCCCTGTCCAAGGGCCTGCTCTGGCTGCGGATCACAGGGATCTGCTGGATCACAGGGATCTGCTCCCAGGGCTGGGATTGGGTTTGGTTTTTTTTCCTGCTGGATCAGAGGGGTCTGCTGCTGCTCCTGGATTTGGGATTGGGTTTTTTTCCTTGCTGGATCACAGGGATCTGCTGTTCCCAGAGTTGGGATTGGGGTTCTTTCCCTGCTGGATCAGAGGGAACTGCTGCTGCTCCCAGCTTTGGGATTGGGGTTGTTTCCCTGCTGGATCAGAGGGCTGCTGTTCCTGCTCCTGGATTTGGAATTGGGATTCCTTCCCTGCTGGATCAGAGGGATTTGCTGTTCCTGGAGCTGGGATTTGGGATCCCAGGGATCTGCTGCTGTTCCTGGATTTGGGATTGGGGTTGTTTCCCTGCTGGAAATTGGGGGTGGGATTGGGGATATGGGATGGGATGGATCCTGCTGCACTCACAAAGAGCAGAGCTGGTGAGCAAATCCCCGTTCCCATTGCTGGCCCCAAAACAGCCCTGGGATGGGCCTGGCCATGGGATTGGCCTCTCCTGCCCCCTCCAGCCCTGGCACCAGGACACTGGGACAAGTCCTGGAGAAATGCTGCTCTCCACAGTGGTGCTGGGCTCTCGGGCTGGGAGCAGCTGCACACGTGGAGGGCTGGCCCAGCCATCCTGGCAGCTTTTCCCTGGAAACCCTGGGAGGATCCCAGCCCTCCCCTGTGCCCATTCCCGGTGGGATCTCTGCAGACTGGGGCTGATTTCGGTGCTGACAAAGGCTCAGTTTATTTTTTAAGCTCGTCCCCAGAAGCAGCAGCCCTTTGAAAGGCAGGATGTGACCTCGGAGCCTCCTGGCAGAGCACAGCCAATGGCTTCCTTTGTTTAACTCTGCTGAATCTTCCCCAAATCCTTCCCAAATCCCTGACCCAGCTGGGGGGTGGCTGTCACCCCTGGGAGCTGTAGGGACAGGGAATGTTTGCATCCAGGGCTGCTCCTTGATGGATCCATCTGCCAAAATCTGCTTTAAAGCCTCAATATAAGCAACACTCAGAGCTCCCGAGGTTTTTCCAAACACTGGCGGCTCTCACATCATCTGTGGGTTTTTTGGGATCAAACTCGGGGTTGGGGATGCAGGGTCTGCTCCTGGGGCTCCCAAATTCCATCAGTTGTCTCTGGAGAGCAGCTGGGCCATGCCAGGCTGCACTCCCAGGAGTTTTTAGTGGTGTTCCAGGATTTATCCTCATTTCCAGCTTGGGAAAAGCTCCAAAGGCAGCAGCTCAAGCGCTGCTGCTTGGGACGGGAGGTTTTGGGGGGAAATGCTGCTTTTAGGGCAGGACTGGGATGGAATGGGGTGGGAGATTCACCTCAGTCTGAAAGTGGGATTGCTCCAACCCCCCCTCCTGCTGTGGAGTGGGGAAGGTGGGAAATACAGGGAATACAGATCCCATGGAAACCAGGCACGGTGCTGCTGTGGGAAGAAATGTCTGGATTCACTTCCCGACATCCCTGTGGAAGTTTCCTCCCTGCCTGGGGAGGTGCAGGAAATGCTGGTGGCCTCCATAGGAGCCCTTTATCACTCGGTGGCCATGGGACTGCTGGGAGCAGGATCCTTCTCCTGGAGGCATGAACTTCCATCCCCTGGGAATGGCTGTGCTCAGAGGGACGAATTCCCATCCCCTGGGAATTGTCGTGCTCCTAATGTGGGAGGGATGACCTTTCATCCCTCGGGATTTGCCGTGCTCAGCCCCCTCCTTCTCCCGAGGGGATGAGCTTCCATTCTCCGGGAATTGCCGGGGGGGAATTGCCGGGAGGGATGAGCTTCCATTCCCCGGGAATTGCCGGGAGGGATGAGCTTCCATTCCCCGGGAATTGCCGGGGATGATGAGCTTCCATTCCCCGGGAATTGCCGGGAGGGATGAGCTTCCATTCCCCGGGAATTGCCGGGAGGGATGAGCTTCCATTCCCCGGGAATTGCCGGGAGGGATGAGTTTCCATCCCCAGGAATTGCCGGGAGGGATGAACTTCCATCCCCTGGGCAATGGATGGAAGTTCAGCCCCCTCCTTCTCCTGGAGGGATGAATTTCCATCCCTGGGAATTGTGAGGCTCAGAGGGATGGAATTTCCATTCCCCGGGAATTGCCAGGCTCAGAGGGATGAATTTCCATCCCTCAGGAATTGCTGGGCTCAGAGGGATGAATTTCCATCACCCAGGAATTGCCGGGCTCAGAGGGATGAATTTCCATCACCCAGGAATTGCCGGGCTCAGAGGGATGAATTTCCATCACCCAGGAATTGCCGGGCTCAGAGGGATGAATTTCCATCCCTCGGGAATTGCCAGGCTCAGAGGGATGGAATTTCCATTCCCCGGGAATTGCCAGGCTCAGAGGGATGAATTTCCATCCCCGGGAATTGCCGGGCTCAGCCCACCCCTAATGCGGGCGCCAGACGGGAGCTCTGCCCGGGGAGACTCCTCTGACCTGATTTAGCAGCACCACAAAAGCCGCCTCGTCTGGGCTGCCACAGCCTCCCGGGGCTCCTCTGGAGCAGGAGCCGCGGTTTTGGGGGATTTTTTGGGATTTTGAGGGTGGAAAGGGGTCCCTCCCGTTGTGGGGGTGCTGCCTGCGAGGTGTTTGGGGTCCCTGCCATGCCCTGCGCTGTTCTGTGTGGAATCCTGGAATATCCTGAGTTTAAGGGACCACCAAAGATGATGAGAACAATCCTAGCCTGTTTCAGGGTGTTGCCCAAACATTCCTGGAGCTCTGGGACCCACAAGGATCATCAATGCAACCCCAGGCCCTGCACAGACACCCCAAAAATCCCCACCTGTCCCTGAGAGCAATGTCTAAACCCTCCTGGAGCTCTGGCAGCCTCAGGGCCATGCCCATCCCCTGGGGAGCTGTTCCAGTGCCTGAGCACCCTCTGAAGGGAAAATCCTTTCCCAAAATCCAGCCCGAACCTCCCTTGTGCTGTCCCTGTCCCTGAGATCAGAGCTGCCCTTCCATGAGGAGCTGCAGCCCCTGAGGAGTCTCCCCTCACTTCTCCAGCTGCATCCAGAGGTGGCTTTTCCTTAGGTTTCCACCTGGGCTTCTGGTGAGCTCAGGGAGGGTTTTCCTGCTCCCTCTCCTGCGGAGCAGCTCCTCCATCCCTGTGTGTGCCTGGGACAGCAATTCCAGCAGGGAATTGTGTGCAGACTGCAGGCAGGGAGATAGGGATGGAGGGATGCCAGCAGTGAGGAGAGACCCCAAGGTTCCCTGCCCAATCCCCCCTGGCAGCCTGTTGGCTCCATTCCTAAGATCTCCCAGCTCCTCTCCATCAATCCCTGGGATAATCCATGTCTGGCCAGTGCTGGGGCTCCTCACTCCCACCCTGGGCACTGCAGCAGCCACAGCAGCACCAGCCCAGCACTCCCAACACCCACCAAAAGCTGGGTCTTATCCCAGATCCCATCCCTTATCCCATCCTGGATCCCCCTCCAGCAGAGAGCACACCTCCTCCTCCAGCCTTAAATCCCTGAAGGACTGAAACTCCTCCCGAGGGAACTGGGGGGAAAAGGTGGTGCCCAATCCCGGGTGAGGATCCCAAATTGCTGAAGGGCTGAAGTGCCTCATCCCCAGGGAGCAGCTCCCAGGAGCTGGGGAAAAAGTGGTGCCCAGTCCTGGGAGAGGATCCCGAATTTTGTTCATCCCACACCCGGCACAGACAGATCCCTCCTGCCTGCTAACTCAGGGCTGAGCTCAAATCCTTGCCAGATTTCCTCAAAATCCAAAGGAAACCTAATCCCAGCTTCATCCCTGGCTGTCTGCTGCTCCCCCAGGCTGGGCTGGAGCAGGACACAGCGCTGCATTCAATCCATCTCGTTGTTTTCCGGGTTATTTTTAATTCCCTCCTCCTCCCGCGGTTTTCCCCTTCTCCTGAGCTCCACAGGGATGGATTTCTGCCTTTCCCAGCCCTGCTGGCCAGCGGTGGCTGCTGGGGCCTGATCTCCTCCCGGTGTTATCAGTGCCCGGGGCAGGGATGCGGTTGCCATGGCAATGGGAGATCCCGGCTGGCAGGGCAGGGATGGATCAGGGATGGTGTGGCCAGCAGGAGCAGGGGGGGTCATTCTTCCCCTTGACTTGTCACTGGTGAGGCCATCCCCCAATTTAGGAGGGGCTGGAGTGTGTCCAGAGGAGGCAAGGAGGCTGGGGAGGGGTCTGGAGCACAAACCCTGTGAGGAGCAGCTGAGGGAGCTGGGGGTGCTCAGCCTGGAGAAAAGGAGACTCAGGGGTGCCCTCATCACTCTCTACACCCCCCTGAAAGGTGCCTGTGCTCAGCTGGAGTGGGGCTCTCTCTCCAGGCAGCACTGACAGAACCAGAGGACACTGCCTCAAGCTGCACCAAGGGAAATTTAGGTTGGATATCAAGAAAAAGTTTTTTACAGAAAGGTGATAAAGTTCTGGAATGTTCTGCCCAGGGAGGTGGTGGAGTCACCATCCCTGGGTGTGTTTGACAAAGCCTGGATGTGGCACTGGGTGCCAGGGTTCAGTTGAGGTGTTGGGGCTGGGTTGGACTCGATGATCTTGGAGGTCTCTTCCAACCCAGTAATTTTGTTATTCTGTGAATTCTGTGGGCTCTGGTTCCAGAGGAGATTCTGCCCTTGGCTGGGCCGTGTCCCTCTCCTGGGGGATGTTGGGGTGTTCACATGTTGGATAAAAGTGCTGCTGATCCACAAGGGAGAATCCTCTGGGTTTGTAAAAACCCCAGGCAGATGTGCTGGGAATCACCTCACAGGGCTGGGAATGCTCTGGGATTCCCAGGGAGAATTCGTGATCTGGGATCTCCCAGTTCTCCTCTGGGCTGGGTTTCCTTCCAGGGCTTTTCCTGGGAATTCTGGGGCATGGAGGGCTCTGCCAGACTGGAAATGCTCCTCTTGCTCCAGGCAGAGCTGTGGGACCGGATCCATCGGGAGCATCCTTGGGGATGCAGGGCCTGGGGGTGATAGCTGGGACTGACTCTTCCCCTTCTTGGCAGCTGAGAGACCCCAAATCCAGCTGAAATTGCCAAATCCTTACCCTCTTGAACACTCCCTGTTACCCAGGGATTCTATCCCTGCTCTTTTCTGTGTCATTCCAAGGTGGGAACGGCCACAGGAGGCTGGGACAGGGCTGCCAGCAGCCTCCAGCTGGAGCACTGGATATTTCCTTTCTCCCAGAACCCTCCCTGAGTCTCTTTCCGAGTTCCTGACCCCGTTCCTGTGCGTTGTCCCCGTGGTTTGTGCCAGGATTGGGACGTTCTGCAGCACCAGGAAACCCCAGTGTGAGGCTGCTGTGGCTGGAAGCTCTGCAGGGAGAGCTCAGGCTCAGCCTGGGCCCTGCAGAGGCACTGGGAGCAGAGCCAGCAGCTTTTCCTGGGCTAACAGGGCCCTGGGGGCTGTTTGGGGACAGGGAAAAGTCTGTCCTGAAACTCTGCACAGGCCTAGAATGACTTTGTCCCCGAGGGAAAAACACTGCTTTTGCTCTTTTGTGATAAATGTGACACTGGGAGAGAGCCCAGGGGGAAAAGTGTTCGCTGGGGGAGAGTGCACAGGGAGAAACCCCATTGTTGGAGAAACCCCATTGTCTGGGCAAACCCACATCCCACATGGCAGCTGCCAAGCCCTGTGGCTGTGTCCCCAGCTCTGGCTCCTCTGGAGAGGGACAAAACCCCTGGAATGTTCTCAACACTCGGGTGTGGCCCTTGGGGACACAGGTTTGGGGTGACACGGTTGGGCTCGATGATCCTGGAGGACTTTTCCAGCCTGAATGACTCCAGGATTCCATGGTGGGAATTGCTCTGCTGTGCTGGAGCACCTGGGCAGGTGGGGACAGGGACGGTGGCATTAACAGGGCAGGGGACAGTGGCATTAACCCTGTCCTTCCCTTGGCAGACACTACCCGAAGCAATCCTTCACCATGGTGGCAGACACGCCCGAGAACCTGCGCCTAAAGCAGCAGAGTGAGCTCCAGAGCCAGGTGAGCCTTGGCATCAGATCCCTGCCTGCCCTGCTCTGAAGGATGCTCTGACCTTCTTCCTTCTCTTCCCATCAGCCTGAGAGTGCCAGGAGCTGGGGAGCTGAAATGCATCCAGGAGGAGGGGGAGGATGGGGGAGCCTCACCTGCAGGACCAGGGCCACTGTGGGTCCCCAAAGCTCAGCTTTTCTCCCAGCCCTTCCCCCTGGGAGCAGCCCAGCAGATCCCTGGCTCAGGCTCAGAGCTGAGCCCAGCCTGGGGCTGGATTTGTGTCCACGCAGCGATGACAGGGACAGGGGGATGACAGGGACAAGGGGACACCGTGGCTTTTCCATGGCAACCACGGAGCTGCTGCTGCTGCTGCTGGAGTCTCCAGCATGCTCCTGGGTTGTTGTTGATGAAAGCAGAGCCAGGGGAGGGGGTTGAGCTCTGCCTGGGCTCTCCTGAGCCCAGGGGGGACTCGCAGCCCCTCAGGAGCTGGGGGGAGACAGCCCTGAAGGGAGGGGGACTCTTCTTCCCTGCATTGGTCACCACAGCTCGGCTACTGTCCCCTGTGCCAGGTGTGCCCAGCTCCTGGGGCCTGCCAGGCTCAGGGACACTGGGGTGACAGGGACAGGGTGACAAGGATGAGGAGCTGGGTGGGGGTGACAGGGACAGGGTGCTCACCACCCACAGGGCTGGGGTGACAATAATGGGACAATGTGCTGGGCACCTGCAGGGATGGGGTGGCAGGGACAGGGTCCTGGACACCCACAGGGATGGGGATGACAGGGATGGGACACTGGGCACCTGCAAGGGTGGGGTGACAGGGGTGGGGTGACAAGGACAAGGAGCTGCAAGGATGGGTGATAGGGACAGGGTGTCAGGGATGGAGTGACAGGGATGGGTGACAGGGACAGGGTATCAGGACACTGGACACCTGCAGAGGCAGGGTGCCAGGGACAGGGTGGGTGGCAGGGCCAGGCCACAGCAGTCCCTTGTCACTCCTCTGTCCCCTCTATTTGTGTCCCCGAGGAGGCGCCTCCCGTTCCACTCACGGGAAGCTGCTGGATAATCACGTCCTGTGAGGCCAAAAGTGTCCCCAAAGTGCCACCCTGGTGCCCACAGGCTGCTTTTCCCAGCCCACGTGTGGCTGGGAAATTGCAGGTTCCCATCCTGGGGCTCCTTTTCTGAGCCTTTCCTGGGGGGAATTTGGGCACAGCCCTTCCTGCCCGAGGGTCCCGTGTGGGGGTGGCAGTGCCACTCCTGTCCTGCTGTGCCAGCCAGTGTCACCTCGGTGCTGGTGACAAAAAGGGGAGGGTTTGATGTGTGAAGGGTTTTTTCTGGCTCCCTTTGGATAACTCATGGATGCACTCGGAGTCACGGCATGGAGGGAGCAGCTCCTCCACGGGAAAATTAATTGTGGGGTTAATTAATTTGTTAAATTATTCTCATCATCATCATCATCATGGGGTGCTGATAGGTGTTTTTTTAGGGCTGAATTTCTGTGTCCTGAACATCAGCAGGGTGAAAAACCAAGGGAGATGGAGCAGGGTGGGATTTAGGAGGGTAAAAATACAGGATTTATCAGAGGATCTGCCCTCCCTTGGGACTGGCTTCTTGCTCAGTGATTCCTTATCTTTCCAGCCTGGAATTCTCCCAGCTCAGCAGCTCTGTGGGTGCCCTGTCCCCTTCCTGGGCAGCATGGGGACAGCATCCCACACTCCAGAGGGAAGCATCCTTCATGGAAAGCACCATGGACGGAGGGCAAACCACAGCCCAGCTGGGCAAACTGGGCAAACTGGGGCTGGTGGCTCCAGAGCAGCTCCAGAGGGCTCCCCCAGCCCCTCCTGAGCCTGTGCCTGTGTCACCAGCTCTGTGTCCGCCTCCCAGGGGTGGCTGGAGGTGCCCTTGGAGGGCTGCAGGTCACTGAGCAGCTGCTCTGAGCTGGGTGCCCGGGGCTGGTGCCCCACAGGAAACTGAAACCAAACCTGGGTGACCCCAAAGAGAGAGGGGAGACCCTTCCTGCCCCAAGAGGAACGGGACCTGCGGGCTCAGGGGAATGGTTTGGTGTTGGAGCTCCTGGAAACATCTGTGCATCCCTGGGAAGGCTCAGGGATGTGCAGGGATGTTGAGAGATGCTCAGGGATGTGCAGGGATGCTCAGGCATTCACTGGGGTGCTCAGGGAGGCTCAGGGATGTTAAGGGATGTTCAGGGATGCACTGGGATGCTCAGGGATGCTGCTCAGGGATGTACAGGGATACACTGGGAGGTTCAAGGAGGCTCAGGGATGCACTGGGATGCTCAGGGATGTATGGGGATGTGCAGGGATTCACTGGGATGAACAGGGATGCACTGGGAGGCTCTAGGAGGCTCAGGGATGTGTGGGGATGCACTGGGATGAACATGGATGAACAGGGATGCTCAGGAATGTTCAGGGATGCTCAAGATGTACTGGGAGGTTCAGGGATGTATGGGGATGTGCAGGGATGCTCAGGGGTGCACTGGGATGCTCAGGGATGTGTTGCTGGGTACCCCACAGGAAACTGAAACCAAACCTGGGTGACCCCAAAGAGAGAGGGGAGACCCTCCCTGCCCCAAGAGGAACAGGACCTGTGGGCTCAGGGGAATGGTTTGGTGCTGGAGCTCCTGGAAACCTCTGTTTGGCATCCCTGGGAAGGCTCAGGGGTCCACAGGGAGGCTCAGGGATGTGCAGGGATGTTGAGAGATGCTCAGGGATGTGCAGGGATCCTGCCCCAAGAGGAACGGGACCTGCGGGCTCAGGGGAATGGTTTGGTGTTGGAGCTCCTGGAAACATCTGTGCATCCCTGGGAAGGCTCAGGGATGTGCAGGGATGTTGAGAGATGCTCAGGGATGTGCAGGGATGCTCAGGCATTCACTGGGGTGCTCAGGGAGGCTCAGGGATGTTAAGGGATGTTCAGGGATGCACTGGGATGCTCAGGGATGCTGCTCAGGGATGTACAGGGATACACTGGGAGGTTCAAGGAGGCTCAGGGATGCACTGGGATGCTCAGGGATGTATGGGGATGTGCAGGGATTCACTGGGATGAACAGGGATGCACTGGGAGGCTCTAGGAGGCTCAGGGATGTGTGGGGATGCACTGGGATGAACATGGATGAACAGGGATGCTCAGGAATGTTCAGGGATGCTCAAGATGCACTGGGAGGTTCAGGGATGTATGGGGATGTGCAGGGATGCTCAGGGGTGCACTGGGATGCTCAGGGATGTGTGGGGATGTGCAGGCATTCACTGGGATGCACTGGGAGGCTCAGGAATGCTCAGTCACTGGGATTCACTGGGATGTACTGGGAGGTTCAGGGATGTATGGGGATGTGCAGGGATGCTCAGGGGTGCACTGGGATGCTCAGGGATGTGTGGGGATGTGCAGGCATTCACTGGGATGCACTGGGAGGCTCAGGGATGTATGGGGATGTGCAGGGATGCTCAGGGGTGCACTGGGATGCTCAGGGATGTGTGGGGATGTGCAGGCATTCACTGGGAGGCTCAGGGATGCTCAGGATGCACTGGGAGTTTCAAGGATGCTCATGCACTGGGAGGTTCAGGAATGCTCAGGGATGCTCAGGGGCTGCCCCTGGGCGAGGCAGGAGCCCTGGCACAGGAGCTGCTGCCCTGGGGAAGCCGTGGGTCACAGTCAGGGGCTGGGCAGGCCCCGCTCTGCCCTGTCCCACCTCTGCCCTGTCCCAGCCCCTTTTCCTGCCTCCCCCCAGATCCGCTACAAGGAGGAGTTCGAGAAGAACAAGGGGAAGGGCTTCAGCGTGGTGGCCGACACCCCGGAGCTGCAGAGGATCAAGAAGACTCAGGATCAGATCAGCAACGTGAGTGGCCTCTCCTCCCTGCTGTGACACGGCTGTGACACCGCTGTGACCTCCAGGGGGAGCGGGGAGGGGACAGCTGCTGACAGACAGCCCCGGGGTCACAGATCCCTGCAATCCTGGCACTAATCATCCTCTGTGAGGAAGAGAGGGGAGGCTGATTCAGTGATCAGAATCCGATTTTATTGTGGGATACAAACACTTGTAGAAATTAAGCATTAATGGTAATTTTAGGGAGGCTTAATAGTCATTTTAGGGACACTATTAATTACTTAATAGTCATTTTAGGGAGACTAGTAATGTTTACTACAATGCTTAGGTTAAAATCCTAACCTCTTGGGTGGTGCCTGAGCTGCTCCTGCTTTTCCATCCCCAAGACTCCTTGCCCTGGGGACACAGAGCCTGCCTGGGAGCTGCTGGCTGCTCCTGGAGCCCAGGAAGGGGTTTGGAATGCAGGGAGATGGTGCCAGGGGAGGGGGTTTGGAATGCAGGGAGATGGTGCCAGGGGAGGGGGTTTGGGATGCAGGGAGATGGTGCCAGGGGAGGAGGGGGTTTGGGATGCAGGGAGATGCTGCCACAGCAGGAGCTCCCACAAAAACCCAGGGGGATTTTTATTCCCTCTTTTTCTGCTCTCATTGTGCAGCACCCCCAGGATGTGATGGATTCACCAAACCCCAGGCAGGGAATGGGCTCCAAGCTGGAAGATTTTCCCTGGGGCAGCTCTGAGCTGGCAGCCCCCCCACAGTGGGGCTGGGGGCTGGGTTTGGGGCGGATCCAGGGGGGTTTGGGGACATGAAATGACAGCAGAGAGCTGTCTTGAGCCCAGCCCTGGTGGCTCTGCCCAGCCCCTCACCCTCTGCCAGCATTTCCAGCAGCTTCCCGTGCCTGGCTGCCAGCCTGGGGTGGCCGTGACCCACTTAGGAGAGACACAGCCAGCAGCCCTGTCCCCGCCGGGCCCTCCCGTTCCAGGGGCAGGAACAGGGCCAGGGAAGGTGGGGCCAGCCTGGCCGTGCCCCAAACGGCCTCGGGGTGGGGAAAACCCCTGGGAATGGGGCTGGGCATGGCCTGAGCCCATCCTGGGGCTGTCCCTGAGCCCATCCTGGGGCTCCTCCTGCTCCTGGGGCTCCTCCTGCTCCTGGGGCTCCTCCTGCTCCTGGGGCTGCTCTGAGGCTGTTCCTGAGGCTGTTCCTGCTCCTGAACCTGTCCTGGGGCTGTGCCTGGGGCTGTTCCCGAGGATGTCCCTGTTCCCAAATCTGTCCTAGGGCTGTTCCTGAGGATGTCCCTGCTCCTGGGGCTGTTCCTGCTCCTCAACCTGTCCTGGGGCTGTTCCCAAGGATGTCCCTGCTCCTGGGGCTGTTCCCAAGGATGTCCCTGCTCCTGGGGCTGTTCTTGGAGCTGTCCCTGCTCCTGGGGCTGTTCCCGAGGATGTTCCTGCTCCTGGGGCTGTTCCTGGGGCTGACCCTGATCCTGAACCTGTCCTGGGGCTGTTCCTGTCCCTGAGCCCATCCTGGGGGCTGTTCCTGAGGCTGTTCCTGTTCCCAAATCTGTCCTAGGGCTGTTCCTGAGGCTGTCCCTGTTCCCAAGTCTGTCCTAGGGCTGTTCCTGAGGATGTCCCTGCTCCTGGGGCTGACCCTCATGTTCCCAAGGCTCTTCCCGAGGCTGTTCCTGGGGCTGTCCCTGATCCCCAGGCTGTCCCTGTTCCTGGGATGTCCCAGCCATGCCCGTGCCCAGCCCCAGTGCCCTCCAGTCCATCAGTGTTTAACCAGGGCACATTCCCAGGCTCCAGCTGCTTCCCGGTGGGAATGCACTCATTAACAGCAATGAGTTAATTGGTAATTTTTACCCTCACGCCCCCGTGGCTGGGTTAACCCTTCCCTCCTGTGTCCCCCTGGCACTGGGGGTTGCACACCAGAATTCCTGAAGGGGATTTTGCTCGGTGTTCCCATGGTTTGGGAGGTACATCTGGGGCTGAGTCTCATCCTGAAACAATTCCTCCTGGGAAGCTCCTCCTGTCCCTGTGTGCCTGGAACTGCTCTGAGCAGATGTCCCCATGCTGGGGGGTGGGGAAGGAGCCTCCGGGATGTGCTGGGTGGCAGAAACAGCCGAGCTGGGATGAGGGCAAGGATCCTGAATCCTTCAAGCTGGGAAAGTCCAGCATTAACCCAGCGGCCCCGCTCTGCCCTGTCCCACCTCTGCCCTGTCCCAGCCCCTTTTCCTGCCTCCCCCCAGATCCGCTACAAGGAGGAGTTCGAGAAGAACAAGGGGAAGGGCTTCAGCGTGGTGGCCGACACCCCGGAGCTGCAGAGGATCAAGAAGACTCAGGATCAGATCAGCAACGTGAGTGGCCTCTCCTCCCTGCTGTGACACGGCTGTGACACCGCTGTGACCTCCAGGGGGAGCGGGGAGGGGACAGCTGCTGACAGACAGCCCCGGGGTCACAGATCCCTGCAATCCTGGCACTAATCATCCTCTGTGAGGAATCATCCTCTGTGAGGAAGAGAGGGGAGGCTGATTCAGTGATCAGAATCCGATTTTATTGTGGGATACAAACACTTGTAGAAATTAAGCATTAATGGTAATTTTAGGGAGGCTTAATAGTCATTTTAGGGACACTATTAATTACTTAATAGTCATTTTAGGGAGACTAGTAATGTTTACTACAATGCTTAGGTTAAAATCCTAACCTCTTGGGTGGTGCCTGAGCTGCTCCTGCTTTTCCATCCCCAAGACTCCTTGCCCTGGGGACACAGAGCCTGCCTGGGAGCTGCTGGCTGCTCCTGGAGCCCAGGAAGGGGTTTGGAATGCAGGGAGATGGTGCCAGGGGAGGGGGTTTGGGATGCAGGGAGATGGTGCCAGGGGAGGAGGGGGTTTGGGATGCAGGGAGATGGTGCCAGGGGAGGAGGGGGTTTGGGATGCAGGGAGATGGTGCCAGGGGAGGAGGGGGTTTGGGATGCAGGGAGATGCTGCCACAGCAGGAGCTCCCACAAAAACCCAGGGGGATTTTTATTCCCTCTTTTTCTGCTCTCATTGTGCAGCACCCCCAGGATGTGATGGATTCACCAAACCCCAGGCAGGGAATGGGCTCCAAGCTGGAAGATTTTCCCTGGGGCAGCTCTGAGCTGGCAGCCCCCCCACAGTGGGGCTGGGGGCTGGGTTTGGGGCGGATCCAGGGGGGTTTGGGGACATGAAATGACAGCAGAGAGCTGTCTTGAGCCCAGCCCTGGTGGCTCTGCCCAGCCCCTCACCCTCTGCCAGCATTTCCAGCAGCTTCCCGTGCCTGGCTGCCAGCCTGGGGTGGCCGTGACCCACTTAGGAGAGACACAGCCAGCAGCCCTGTCCCCGCCGGGCCCTCCCGTTCCAGGGGCAGGAACAGGGCCAGGGAAGGTGGGGCCAGCCTGGCCGTGCCCCAAACGGCCTCGGGGTGGGGAAAACCCCTGGGAATGGGGCTGGGCATGGCCTGAGCCCATCCTGGGGCTGTCCCTGAGCCCATCCTGGGGCTCCTCCTGCTCCTGGGGCTCCTCCTGCTCCTGGGGCTCCTCCTGCTCCTGGGGCTCCTCCTGCTCCTGGGGCTCCTCCTGCTCCTGGGGCTCCTCCTGCTCCTGGGGCTGCTCTGAGGCTGTTCCTGAGGCTGTTCCTGCTCCTGAACCTGTCCTGGGGCTGTGCCTGGGGCTGTTCCCGAGGATGTCCCTGTTCCCAAATCTGTCCTAGGGCTGTTCCTGAGGATGTCCCTGCTCCTGGGGCTGTTCCTGCTCCTCAACCTGTCCTGGGGCTGTTCCCAAGGATGTCCCTGCTCCTGGGGCTGTTCCCAAGGATGTCCCTGCTCCTGGGGCTGTTCTTGGAGCTGTCCCTGCTCCTGGGGCTGTTCCCGAGGATGTTCCTGCTCCTGGGGCTGTTCCTGGGGCTGACCCTGATCCTGAACCTGTCCTGGGGCTGTTCCTGTCCCTGAGCCCATCCTGGGGGCTGTTCCTGAGGCTGTTCCTGTTCCCAAATCTGTCCTAGGGCTGTTCCTGAGGCTGTCCCTGTTCCCAAGTCTGTCCTAGGGCTGTTCCTGAGGATGTCCCTGCTCCTGGGGCTGACCCTCATGTTCCCAAGGCTCTTCCCGAGGCTGTTCCTGGGGCTGTCCCTGATCCCCAGGCTGTCCCTGTTCCTGGGATGTCCCAGCCATGCCCGTGCCCAGCCCCAGTGCCCTCCAGTCCATCAGTGTTTAACCAGGGCACATTCCCAGGCTCCAGCTGCTTCCCGGTGGGAATGCACTCATTAACAGCAATGAGTTAATTGGTAATTTTTACCCTCACGCCCCCGTGGCTGGGTTAACCCTTCCCTCCTGTGTCCCCCTGGCACTGGGGGTTGCACACCAGAATTCCTGAAGGGGATTTTGCTCGGTGTTCCCATGGTTTGGGAGGTACATCTGGGGCTGAGTCTCATCCTGAAACAATTCCTCCTGGGAAGCTCCTCCTGTCCCTGTGTGCCTGGAACTGCTCTGAGCAGATGTCCCCATGCTGGGGGGTGGGGAAGGAGCCTCCGGGATGTGCTGGGTGGCAGAAACAGCCGAGCTGGGATGAGGGCAAGGATCCTGAATCCTTCAAGCTGGGAAAGTCCAGCATTAACCCAGCACTGCCTCACCAGCAACCCATGGGCTTTTAACCCTTCTGGGGACAGTGACTCCCTTTTCTGAAGGAATTCTCCCAAATTCCCAATCCGAACCTGCCCCCCAGCCATTTCCTTGTCCCAGCCCTTCTTCCCTGGGAGAAGCTGCTGCAGCAGGGCCGAGCTCTGAGCTGTCCCATCCCCCTGCAGATCAAGTACCACGAGGAGTTCGAGCGGAGCCGGATGGGCCCCAGCCCCAGCGAGGGCTCGGAGCCGGAGCGCCGGAATTCCCAGGAGAGCGGCGGCTACCGGAGAGCAGAGCAGCAGCAGCAGCACCACAGCCAGCCCGGAGCCACAGGTGGGTGGGGACAGCATCAGGTGGGCTCCTCTGCATCCCCCACATCCCAAAATCCCAGTGCAGGGATCCAGCCACATCCCAGTGCAGGATCCACCCAAATCCTAGTGCATGATCCGCCCAAATCCCAGTGGAGGATCCAGCCACATCCCAGTGCAGGATCGGCCCAAATCCCAGTTCATGGATCTGCTCACATCCCAGTGCGGGATCCACCCAAATCCCAGATCATGGATCCGCTCACATCCCAGTGCAGGATCGGCCCAAATCCCAGTTCATGGATCTGCTCACATCCCAGTGCGGGATCCACCCAAATCCCAGATCATGGATCCGCTCACATCCCAGTGCAGGATCGGCCCAAATCCCAGTTCATGGATCTGCTCACATCCCAGTGCGGGATCCACCCAAATCCCAGATCATGGATCCGCTCACATCCCAGTGCAGGATCGGCCCAAATCCCAGTTCATGGATCTGCTCACATCCCAGTGCGGGATCCACCCAAATCCCAGATCATGGATCCGCTCACATCCCAGTGCAGGATCGGCCCAAATCCCAGTTCATGGATCTGCTCACATCCCAGTGCGGGATCCACCCAAATCCCAGATCATGGATCCGCTCACATCCCAGTGCAGGATCGGCCCAAATCCCAGTTCATGGATCTGCTCACATCCCAGTGCGGGATCCACCCAAATCCCAGATCATGGATCCGCTCACATCCCAGTGCAGGATCGGCCCAAATCCCAGTTCATGGATCTGCTCACATCCCAGTGCGGGATCCACCCAAATCCCAGATCATGGATCCGCTCACATCCCAGTGCAGGATCCAGCCAAATCCTAGTGCAGGATCCGCCCAAATCCCAGTGTAGGATCCAGCCACATCCCAGTTCATGGATCCAGCATTCCTTCCCCATCCCAGTTCACTCCCCTTTCCCTCCCCAGTTTACCAGCAGCAGCAGCAGCCGCCTCCATCCCAGTCCTACGGCTACAAGGAGCCAGCCCCGGCCTCCTCACAGCGCAACGCCCCGGCTGGAGGGGGGGTGAGTCCAGACCAGCCCCCCATTCCCACCCCGGGGTTCCCCGTGCTCCCTCAGCCCCCCATTCCCACCCCGGGGTTCCCCGTGCTCCCTCAGCCCCCCATTCCCACCCCGGGGTTCCCCGTGCTCCCTCAGCCCCCCATTCCCACCCCGGGGTTCCCCGTGCTCCCTCAGCCCCCCATTCCCACCCCGGGGTTCCCCGTGCTCCCTCAGCCCCCCATTCCCACCCCGGGGTTCCCCGTGCTCCCTCAGCCCCCCATTCCCACCCCGGGGTTCCCCGTGCTCCCTCAGCCCCCCATTCCCACCCCGGGGTTCCCCGTGCTCCCTCAGCCCCCCATTCCCACCCCGGGGTTCCCCGTGCTCCCTCAGCCCCCCATTCCCACCCCGGGGTTCCCCGTGCTCCCTCAGCCCCCCATTCCCACCCCGGGGTTCCCTGTGCTCCCTCAGCGCAACGTTCCCACCCCGGGGTTCCCCGTGCTCCCTCAGCCCCCCATTCCCACCCCGGGGTTCCCTGTGCTCCCTCAGCCCCCCATTCCCACCCCAGGGGTCCCTCTGCTCCCTCAGCCCCAGGAGAAGCTGTTTTGGGGGGTTGGATGCTCGGTTTGGGCAGTGAGAACCACCCAGATCCAGCACCCTGGGGAGGGGCTGTGACCCCTCTGTCCCCAGGGAGGGGCTATGCCATGACCCTCATGTCCCCTGTGGCCATGCCATGCCCCTCGTGTCCCCTGGGGGTGTGACAATGACCCCGTGTACCCTGGGGCTGTTCCCTTTCCCCTGGGGCTGTGACAATGTCCCCTGGAGTTGTGACAGTAACCCACCCCCGTGTCCCCTGGGGCTGTGACAATGTCCTCTCAGGCTGTGACAATGCCCCCTGGGGCTGTGACAGTGACCTACCCCCGAGTCCCCTGGGGCTGTTCCATGTCCCCTCGGGCTGTGACAATGTCCCCGTGTCCCCACAGAAGCGTTTCCGTGCCGTCTATGACTACAACGCGGCGGACGAGGACGAGGTGTCCTTCCAGGACGGGGACACCATCATCAACGTGCAGCAGATCGATGACGGCTGGATGTACGGCACGGTGGAGCGCACGGGGGACACGGGCATGCTCCCTGCCAACTACGTGGAGGCCATCTGAGCCCGGGGACACGGCCCTGCCCCGTGTCCCCTCCCCGTGTGTGCGTCTCTTGTCCCCTCCCCGCCCTCGGAGCCGTGTCCCCTCTGGGTGCGGTGTCTCTCGCCACTTCTGCTCCGTGCTGGCCCCGTGGGGGCTGTGGGGCAGTGTGGGGTGGGGATCAAAGTCCCAGAGCGCTCCTGCTGCTGTCCCTGATGTCCCTCCTGTCCCTCCTGTCCTGCCCTCCCGGCGGGAGAAGCCTCTGGAGCCACCGGGGTGTCAGGAAAAGGGAGGGAGTGGCCGAGTCAGGACCAAATTCCTGCTGTGGGGTGGGAGAGGCGAGGGGGGCTCAGCCAGGGGTGCCCTGGGCTCGGGGTGGGCTGGCAGCTCCCCCTGCTCAGCTCATCCTGCTCCTGGCTGCTTCCCCTCGATCCTCGCTCCCTTCAGTGCCCAGAGCAGGAAAGTTTTCAGCTCAAATCTCCAACAAAACCTCTCTGCTTGGAGTTCCGAGCTCTGGGCAGCCCTGCAGGAGGCTCTGGCTGCCTCTGCCTCAGGCTGGGCTGGGATGAGCCCCCTGGAGCTGGGATGAGCCCCCCCAAATTGGGATGAATCCTCCTGGACTAGGATGAGCCCCCCAGGCTGGGGTGAGCTCCCCAGACTGGGATGAGCCCCCCAGATTGGGATGAGCCCCCTGGTGCAGGGATGAATCCCCCTGGACTGGGATGAGCTCCCCAGACTGGGATGAGCCCCCCAGAACTCCAGCTTGCTCTGGGGGTCACCTGGGGGAGCCTTTCCCCCTACCCAGAATTTTCCTGCTTTTCTCCTGCTGCTGCTGAGTGCTGCCACCCCTCTGGGCCCATCCCAGGTCACTGTCCCTTGGGTGGTGTGACACCCCGAGCCACCCCACACCTCTCATTCCCAGCACTGGTGGCAGCTTTTTGGGACCACTTTGGGATCATGTAATGGACCAAAACATCCCTGTCCCTTTCTCCTCCGGGCTCAGGAATCCTGGGGAGGGTCAGGGTCGGGTAAAACTGGAAATGAACAGAGAGGGAGGAGTGGGAACCTCTGTAGGGGACCTGAGACAGCAGGGGTGTCCCTGAGCCAGGACCTGGGGACAGCAGGAGTGTCCCCGTGCTGGCTCCACTATTATTCCCACAGGAAAATCGGGAATAGGGGACCAAAATGGCCAAATGAGACATTCCTTGGTGCTGCTGGGGACACCTCCCTCCCTCGGGGGCTGGGACTGGGGGCAGAAACCCTCCAGGAAAAGGGAATTCTGGCTGCAGTGGGACGGGGACAGGGATCTGGGGTGACAGCGGGGCAGGAGCAGCCAGGACGGGCTGCCCGGGGTGGGAATCCTGGTTGGTGCTAAAACAGGGAGCACAAGGGCAGGGGGAGCCTCCTCTCCCTGCTAAATCCTCTTCTTAATCACGTTCTTGTCTGGGAATTGGGGGGGGGGGGGGAGCATCAATGTGAATAAACCCTTTTTTAATGGACCAAATAACACAGGAAATTCCCTTTCGGGATACAGATCTTTTTTTAATCCTCCCTCAAAACTGTTGTCCCTAAATTCTCCTCTCCCATGCCCCTTTCACCCCCACCATGGGAAACAAACCTCTTACTGCTTGATTTCTGCCTTTTCTCTCAACTTTATGCACTTTTTTGCCTTTTTTTTTTCATAGCTGAAAAGCACCTAAACCTGTATTTAAAATAAATAAATAAATAAAAGAGTAAAAAAAAAATCACAAGGAAGAAGAACAATTAAAAAGCTGAATAATTGCTTCTCATCACATGTAAAATAGACCTCATCCATCCCAGCTTCCCTGGTTGTGTCTCAGTGCTGAGCTTAGAACGTGTTTTCCTCGGGATCCGTCGCTTAATTGGGGTTTTGTCCTTGTGTCCTTCCTGGGTTGAGCACCCACCAGTAAAAAAAAAAAAAAAAAAAAAATTATTTGGCCTTTTTATCCAAAAAAAAAAAGAAAACCCACGGAATGGAACAACCCGACCAATTCTCTTGCCGGTTTACTCGGATTGAAAATAAAAGTTTAATTTTTACCTGCTGATTGTGCTGGCTCTGATTGTGGCCGCTTTTCCGGCCGTTTTTCCTACTTGGCTGGGACAAGGGGAGGCTTCCAGAGCTGCGGTTTTCATCTCCCCCGATCCCTGGGGATCCTCCTGGGCTGCTCATCCCCTGCCTTTGGAAAGCCCAGGGAGGTGTTTTGGAGCCCCGCCTCAGCCGAGGGCTTTCCCTGGAGCCCTGGGAATACAGGTGGGATTTCCAGCGGGGTTTAATAAACATCTGGCCGCTGTGTAGGGACCGGTGTTGTTTATCAGCAGTAAAAACAGCGAGGAAAACAAAGCGGCGCTGCCAGGGAAGCAAAGCGCGGTGCTGGGGCACCCCAGGAGCACCAGCCGAGGTGACTTCAGGGTGGGGGCCGCGCTCCTTTTCTCATTTTCCTTCTTTTCCTCAAAGGATGGGCCCGTTCCCAGCTGGGGGCACATCCCCGTGGGCACCCCCCGAAGTGGGGAGCGCTTTGGGAAGGACGGAGCAGGGACAGAACAACCCCCGCGGGGACAGACGGCCCCGGGCGCCAGGGCTGGGCTGAGCCCGGCTGCCCGCCGGGGTTTATCCCTTTATCTCCCGCAGGAAAGCGGCTCCATCAGCTCCGGCATCGGCTCTGCATCCTGAGCGGAGCGGGGAGGGGAGGACGCAGGGGCGGCTCTGCCCAGCAGCCCTGCCCGGAGCCCCGCAGCCCCGGCCCCGCCGCCTCCTCCCTCCCTCACCATGCTGGACATTTTCATCCTGATGTTTTTCGCCATCATCGGCCTGGTGGTCCTGTCCTACATCATTTACATGCTCTAAAGAGCCGCCGCCGCCGAAGATGCGGCTCAGCAGCGGCCTCGCCAGCCAGGTGAGCTCCGAGCCCCTCCAGGTGCGAGTTCCAGGGGAGGGTTGTGCCGGGAGGGGGGACGGGGGCAGTTTGGGGGTCGGTGCTGTTGGATTTGGCCGCCTGGGCTGGAAGGGGGCCCGGGGGTGATTTTCCAGCCCACGCCGCTCAGCCCCGGGCGCTGCGCAGCTGCTGCCGGGTTCTCCATCCGCTTGGGAAAGGCGCTCCTGCAGCACGGCCCGGTGGCTTTTGTTCCCGAGCGGGGGAGAAATGGAGCAGCTCCGGGAGAAGCCGGGCGGGATCCCGGCTGCGTCATCCTAAGGAGCCAAAGGAGGCTCCCGGGGCCGGGGGCGGCTGCTCCCGCACGGAGCTGCTCCATCCATCCCCTGTTCTCCCGCACGGAGCTGCTCCATCCATCCCCTCTTCTCCCGCACGGAGCTGCTCCATCCATCCCCGCTCCTCCAGCACGGAGCTGCTCCATCCCCTGTTCTCTCACACGGAGCTGCTCCATCCATCCCCTGCTCTCTCACACGGAGCTGCTCCATCCATCCCCTGCTCTCTCACACGGAGCTGCTCCATCCCCTGTTGTCCCGCAGCTCCGGGCCCGGCTCACACCGGCCTCTCCTTTCTCCTTCTCTCCCGCAGCCTCCGCCCGGTGCGCGTCCCTCGGAGCCTTCTGGAACAGCGTTAACCTCTGCGAGCCCGGCGCGGAGCACGGAGCGGTCACGGAGCCGGGGACGGAAATGGGGGGACACGGGAGGGGGCTCCGAGGGGCTGTCCCGCTGCCGGGACCCGGCTAATCCCCCTGTCAGGACCTGTGTCCTTCCCCCTGTCAGGACCCGTGTCCTTCCCGCTGCCGGGACCTGGGATGCTCCCGGTGACGCACGCGGTGTCCCCAGGGGCATGAGAAGGGTCCTGTCCCCCCCTTGTGTCGTGTCCCCTCGGCCCGAGGCCGCTCATTAGGGAGCGAAAGGAGGCTCCCGGGGCCGGGGCATCCCCTGTTCTCCCGCACGGAGCTGCTCCGTCCCCTGTTCTCCCGCACGGAGCTGCTCCATCCATCCCCTGTTCTTTTACACGGAGCTGCTCCGTCCCCTGTTCTCCCGCACGGAGCTGCTCCATCCATCCCCTTCTCTCACGGAGCTGCCTGCTCCATCCCCTGTTCTCTCACACGGAGCTGCTCCATCCCCTGCTCTCTCACACGGAGCTGCTCCATCCATCCCCTGTTCTCCCGCACGGAGCTGCTCCATCCATCCCCGCTCCTCCAGCACGGAGCTGCTCCATCCCCTGTTCTCTCACACGGAGCTGCTCCATCCCCTGTTGTCCCGCAGCTCCGGGCCCGGCTCACACCGGCCTCTCCTTTCTCCTTCTCTCCCGCAGCCTCCGCCCGGTGCGCGTCCCTCGGAGCCTTCTGGAACAGCGTTAACCTCTGCGAGCCCGGCGCGGAGCACGGAGCGGTCACGGAGCCGGGGACGGAAATGGGGGGACACGGGAGGGGGCTCCGAGGGGCTGTCCCGCTGCCGGGACCCGGCTAATCCCCCTGTCAGGACCTGTGTCCTTCCCCCTGTCAGGACCCGTGTCCTTCCCGCTGCCGGGACCTGGGATGCTCCCGGTGACGCACGCGGTGTCCCCAGGGGCATGAGAAGGGTCCTGTCCCCCCCTTGTGTCGTGTCCCCTCGGCCCGAGGCCGCTCATCTGGGCTTAATTTTAGGAAGTGGCTTCTATTTTTGATGAGCGATGTTCAGGGAGTGGAATAAAGAGGAATGACACAGGAGAGGGAAGATGGCTCCGGTGTCACTGCGGGGATGGGGGTGGGGGACACGCGGCTCCAGGGACAAACCCCGGCAGTGCAGAGGGATCCAGGGATTCCCGGGAATGCCAGAGATCGGAAATCCAGCCTGAGGCACCTCTGTGTGCCCCAGCACGAGCGGCTGTCCCTGGGGAGGGGTCCCCACCAGCGTGTCCCCTCCCTGGGTGTCCCCACCCCTCACTCGGGTCCCTCTCTGGTGTTTGGGGAAGCTCCAGGAGGCCTTGGATAGGAAAAGGAACGCTTTTAACACGATGGAAATTTCTGTGGGATGGAAAGAACATTTCAGAGCTTCATTTTCCCCCCGCTTGGAGAAGCCTGGGGAGGTGTTTGGGGCATCAGGAGGATTTTTCCTGTCCTTTTTTGAAGCCCTGCATCCATCCCTGCCCTCCCACTGCCACTCATGGGCAAAGACTGAAAGTTTCACCCTCCTAGAAGGCACAATTTTCACATTCCTGGTGTCTCACAGAGTTTTGTATTTTTTTTAAAGCAATAAACACCTGAAATATCCATAATGGGGAAAACTTTGTGCCCCTTCAGCTATGCCTGGAAGCACCACACAAGCGTGTGGAAAGGGATCCAGGGAGAGCAGGGGCCCAGGAAAGGCTGGGATGGGCTGCTGTGACTTTTAGGAGGGGGAAAAAAGAGAGATTTCAGAGCCTGGGAATGCTGGATGTGGTCAGTGCTGCCAGCTGAATGCTCGACTCTGCAATTTCCTGTCAGTAAAACTTCCCGAGAGAAACTCCAGGCTGGGGATTTCACCTCGGGGCGTTCCTGGAGCCGCCCAGGGTGATCCCTCCCGCTGAGCCCCCGAGGTGAGGAAACGCTGCTCCCTCTCTCCAGCACCAAATATAGCCGGGAATCAGGAGCCTGAAATATTCCGGGAGGAATTTCTGCAGGCACAAGTCGTGTTCTCAATAACCTCCCCTCCCTCAGGCCGTGTGTGGAGCCGACATCTGCAGGGATGAGGGCAGAGTGAGTAAAGAGGAATGCGTGGAATGGAAACTCAGCTGAGTGTGAAACCAGGAACGATCCTTTCCTCTGGCTCCCAGGCCTCAGAGAGCTGCCAGCTCTGCAGAGAAATCCCTTCCTGCAGGCCCCAGCCCCGTGCTGGAAGGTGGGGAGGGGTGGGAAAAGGGAAGCAGGGCAGGAGAGGGGTTTGCAGGCAGCCAGAGGGGCACAGAGGGCAGGGACAGTGCCCGTCCTCACCTCAGGCTGCAGCCAGGATCCAGCCCTGCCACCCTGGCGTGGGGGATTTGCTCCTGGGCCTGGCTTTTACCCACTCTCCACTGCAGCTGTTAAAATTTGGCAGCAAAAGGAAAAAAAATCACTTTTTCTCAAGTCCCCAGCTGGTCTGGAGCTGGACCCTGTCAGTGTTTGAGCTGGAAAAGGAGGGAGCAGGGCTGGTGGCATTTCCCAGCTCACCCCAAAATGGGCAGGGAAGCGGGATTGGCTTCACTCCTTTGGGAAGCAAAGTCCTGTTTGATGGAAATGTGGCACAAATCTGCCACCAGGGATGTCCCATCCCTTGAAGTGTCCCAGGCCAGCCTGGACAGGGCTTGGAGCACCCAGGGACAGTGGGGTGGCAGGGGTGGCATTGGATGGGCTTTAATGTCCCTTCCAAGGCAGCCCAAGCACTCCCTGAGGCGCTGGGAGTGCCAGAGCCGAGCAGTTAATGACAATTAATAAAGCCATCAATAATTCACCAGGAGCAGCGCCGGGCTGACATTCCAGCCCCGCCGGCTGCTCCAGGGAATCAAAGAGCTCCCTTTTCCCTTGGCTGAGCTCTCATAAAGGCTCCCCTTGTGCCCGGCTGGAATTTCTGCCTGCTCCTGGCCGGGAAAGAGCCGGGACACGGCGGGACGGGGACACACAAAGGGCCGGGCTCCGCTCCCTTCTCCTGCTCGGGATTATCGATCAGGAGCAGCTCCTGAGGATAAAGGGACAGACAAGGACCTGGGCTGGGGATTCCTGGTGGCGTTTTCCCGTGGCTGTTCTCACATCGAGGCTGTTTTCTCCTCAAATTTCGGGTTCGCTCCCGACACGTTCGGTTCCCGGAGTGGAAAGAAGAACCTGGAATTTCTCTCCCTTCAGAAATCACGCGTTGCAGCGCCCTTAAAACGCCACCTTGGAGCAGCCGGAGGGAAAAAAGGGGATGTTCCCAGCGTTTTCCAGCAGCTGCCGCGCTCAGGGAAGGTTTCACCTCTGCCATCTGCCGGCACCACCGCCAGCGGATGTCCCGGAGGCAGATCCTGCCTGGAATTGTGGATTCCACAAACGCCGCCAGGATTTTGGGCGCACAAACTTTCCCGAGCTGCTCCCAGGTTGCGGCTGATGGGAGCAGGTGGAGGCAGCTGAGATAA